TACAGAAGTGCAGAACAGAGTTCTAAATGAACAACGATGCCATGACTGTAAGGAGGAGGCATAAGGAAAGTAGAATGAGGGAGGAGGGGAGTACGATTTTATATCACAGAACAAGAAAACGGAGAATTGTTTTTCCAATGTAAAATCAAATAGGAATAAAGTTTGATTGGTCGAACTTGGAAGTTAAAACAGGTGAGTTTTAGGAACATCAAGAGAAACAGAATGGAGTGAGATGGATGCTGATGTAGTTTATGTTTCAGTTTTGTTGTGGTTGCAAGAGTTTACTGCAAAGGAGGTACAGTTGTGAAGCAGAAAATTGTCACTATCAAATATATATATAAATACATATAATATATAAAGAAAGAATGGATGATACTGTGTGATGTAACATTGGGTAGTATAATACAAAACAACAAAAAACAGAAAATGGGGACCTTTTTCTGTCTATTAGAGCGACAGAGCTGAAGGCTGCAGTGGGGCACAGGAGGGCAGCAGTGGTGCTGTCCCCAGCCCAGAGGCACAAGCAACAGCAGCTGTGGAAAGGCAGCAGCCGTGGACACGAGTTCTGCCGGGGTGAGGAGCAAATACAAAATGGTGGCGAGCTGAAAATCAAGTTCTGCTTTCTGATGTATAAATTATCACAATAAAGCACCTTTTCACACGACTTCAGTTTCTGATGCCTTTAAATAACATGAGAGATGCCAGGTCTTCTGGCAGCTAGAAGCAGCAGGAATGAAGACCTTAATTTTGTGCAGCAGATATGCGGTCAGCTTTAGTCACAGTAGATGGATAAACGCAGTTCATCTCCCAGATACGGTGCAAATTTCTCAATTTCCTTATGCGCTTACATATTTCACCAGCATAAAGTTGTCAGTCTGCCAGCAAGATTGCTCCTTAGAATAATTCTTCCGATATAATGTGGTTGTGGAAACAGCAGGCCATATCCACATTAGTGTATACATGTGCTTCATTATTTATGCGTTCCCAAACTCTGTTTAGTTATGGTGAAATTCTAGATGATTCAGGCTCCCTTTTTTGTTTGCTTCCTTGGCTTTTCTTGCAATCAGTTCTTTATTTTTTGGACTACTAGTCTGGGCATCTAAGTCTGGGGCCAAGGACAAAATTACGCTTAACCTATTTATGTGTCTGTTAAAAATTACGTGTTTTAAGGAGACAAAATCTCATGGTTACTGGCAATTATAGTGCAAAGGCAAGTATACTACAGTTTAAATATTAATTCATTTTTTTAGATATTAAGACTCAGTGTCCTGGAACAGTGTGTACAGTGAATTAAAGAGCAAGGGTTTGTGCTCAGAATGTGGGTTTATGTCACGTTAGTCTTACTGTCGAAGCACATTATTACATTAAGGGAGTGCTTTGCTCAGAGGAAAATACCATTAAGTTACAGAAGTAAAATGTGAATGTTCCCAGAAAATCCACATACGGCTCTTCCCAACTTTGAAACTGTGCATATGGAAACACAGGCTCGTGAAAGCATGGAAATCCCTCCCTCTTTTAGCACAGAAGCCGAGGCAGCAGTGCTAGGCAGTAGGAAAAGCTGTCTCACGACACCTGGCTGTGTCTGCACCTGAGCCTTGCACCGGTGCCGTGCCCTCCTCTGCCCGCCGCAGGCATCCCCTGGGTCTGCAGGACAGAAGGACAGCACCTGCAGCCCAGTCCTCAGAGGTGGGGCTGTACTCAGGTACTTCTTAAAGCTTGCCAAGATGCTTTATGGAAGGAATTCATCGGGACTTGTAAAGCCTTGGGCCCATGAGGACAGAGAAATGTAACAGCTGGGCAGGTCTGGGAGCACTGAGCTGCAACGGCAGTGGGGAAAGAGACATGGGGGGAAACGGGGAGAAAGAAGCAAGGAAAGCTGAATGAAAATGTGGCGACTTTTAAAGTAAAGCACAGTGTGCAAGGGGGAAGAGGGTGTCTGCTAAAGGGTGATTTGCTACCAGGAAAAGTTATAAAACAACAAGCAAACAAAAACAAAATCACCACCACGTCTCTGCAGCAACATAGCTGCTGGTTCATTCAAAGATCATTCAAAGATGCACTGGTTTCCCCCCACATACTTATAAATAAATAAATAAATAAACAAACAAATATATATATATATAAAAGAAATAAAACAAACAAACAAACAAACAAAAAAACAACATTCCATGATAGAACTTTCCTGGACACTCATTCACACTTCGTTCAGCTTTGGAGATAAACTGGCTGGCTACATTATGTGTTATGACGACCTCGCTCTATGGATTATGATTATTTTGGTGTTATGCTTTTCCATATATCCCCTTAATCTTGGTGCTAACCGAGGAGGGATTTCCAGACTCCGAAATCTTTTTGCCCCTCTGTGTGGCACAGAACAATTTGCTGCTCCTTCCTGGCGCATCCTTTGTTTTCAATGCCCAACATTCCGTGTGGGCAGCAGAGCTCGGGGTTAAAATCTCTCTCATTAGTGAAGGGGTATTTTGTGTCTGTCAGGCTGCCCAGCTGCACATACTTGTAGCTGTAACATCATCAGGGCTGTGCTGGTCACCGTAACCCTTCCCTGCTGCAGCGTAGGATCGGTGGCAGCGGTCCATTGCTGGCTCCTCCTGCCTGAAGCCCTGGCTGTTTTCTCAAGCTGCCCACTTGCTCAGGCTGCTTCTCTGGCTAGACCTGCTTCCAGGCTAGACCTGTTTCCTTCCCCGTTATGCGAGAGGAACATGCAATATGGTACAGTTAATTCCCCCTTGAAGAAAGCGCAGAGCCAAAGCAGCTGCAAACACATCCCAGCAAAGCTGAAGACAAAACAAAGCAGAGGAACTGCTGTCAGCAAATTGGTATGTTTTTAAACCGTGTTTGTAACAGAAAGCATATGATCAGGAATGCATCTCGTCTGAGAGGGACGAGTTATCTAGCTCACAGCCTCGTTACTGCCTGGCTTTACTCTAAACAAGTGACCTGCAAGAAAATAGATGGCAGTCCTTGCCTAACCGTACGGACTGACACAGTTTTCACTTAATCTGAGATTCATTTTTACAGTTTAAAGCTATGTCCTGAAAACATAATCAGCTAGATCCTAACCAGCTGCTGACCTGATGAAATAGGTGGGACACAGTCCAGACTTCTGAACAGGGACTTCTAATGCGATCCAACATAAAACTATCAGCGTGCTTTGCAAGGCTGAGCTCGGGATGGGGAAATGCTTGTGGGTGCCCCATCCCTGGAGGTATTCATTGCCAAGCTGGATGGGGCTTTGGGCAGCCTGGGCTGGTGGGAGGTGTCCCTGCCCATGGCGGGGGCTGGAACTGGGTGATCCATGAGGTCCCTTACAACCCAAAGCACTCTGCCGTGCTGTCATTCTCTGATGACTGTGTAACAAAAGTAGGAGGAAAAGTAAGCAGGGCAATAATGCACCTGCATGATTGCTTGTGCTTGTCATAGCCACGCACACTGGTGTGTGATGTCCAACAGCGTTAAAGTCTTAGCGTTCACCTCCAAAGAGACAGATTCAATGATGTCGTGACATTTCTGCCACTTTAACCAAATGCCTGATTAACGAAAATACTGTTTTAAAGAATAACATGGTAATTTCACTGGATTTTAGTGTGTTGACTGTGAAAGCTGTTAAGAGTTAGGGCCTGATATCACTTCCATTAATGGTTTTAATTTGTCACAATGTTTGGATTTTTTTGTTTTTTGGCTTACCTTTGTTTACTGTGTAACTAGTATCCACAAAGTTTTCCTCTAAGGAAGTTAATGTGGGAACCCCCGCATTGCGGGAATGTTGAGTAAAAAAAAACAGTACTACACTTTCTGCTTATATATATTTATATAAATATATAGATAAAATTTTTGCTATGCTTTATTAAGAGCTTAAATAATTAAGAGGCATTTTGCGTATTTCACTCCCAAGACTTTCTACATGATTCACCAAGATATGACACCAGTGCTAACGCTTCTATCAGTTTGACGAAGCCACTCTTTCATATATTGAATAGTCTCCTTTGTTCTCTTTTTTTTATGATGAGTTTTAGTGATAATATCTATTTGAAACTACCCTCAGCTTCCTTCTTAATCTGGAGCCTCATTCTTCCTAGGAATGCTTGGATTAGCAACAAAAGGTCACAGAGCCCCAGGTACAGAACCAGGGCTGTCAGTACTGCCGTCTGTGGGCTACGTGGTGATGGAGTTTTATTTGCCATTCATTTCCGAGCACGAAGTTGTTGTGAGGAACATCAACGTTCACATGAATGCTCTCATTAATTCTGTTTAAACAAACTGCAACAGCCATGGTAAACATCTAAACCACTACTGTCCTCAATGAAAAAAAAAATAACAAAAAGGTAAGAAAAATAATTGTTCCAAGGAAGAAAAAACTTGGTGATATGTGCAATGTGTGGAATGTCTTATTTGCAATGCTATTTTACCAACAGTGGCTTACAACACATTTACTTGACACGTCTTGTGTAGAAACTTTATTCAGCTTTGTGTTCTTTCCCTTACACAGGGGAAAGTCAAAAAGGAAGTTGATTTTCTTTGCTGGCCTTTGCAGAAAAACCTTGTGAAAGGAAGCATAACTCTTTTATAAGAGAGTAGGATCCCTCAATAAACACATCTATGAGTGTAACTGCATTAGAAGTCACTGCAGTATCTCAGCAAGCACTTGGACAATTTCCAAACTCATGATGCATGTGAAAGAAGCTGCTGACTGTCCCCTGATTCCAGTAACAACTCCCTGGGCCTGGAGAAGGGGAGGTCGGGAAATGAAGGGAGGTGAAGAGGAACGGGGCTCCTTGGAATTAAGTCACTGTTAAGGCAGTCTTTTAATAGACTCTGCATAGACCTTTAAAGAAAAGTAATCTCCACACTTAATTTTTCTTGTTGATATCCATTAATTTTCACTTTCAGCTTCTTCTGTCTTACTACAAAAGCAGAAAAGAAGTGATTTTTTTCTTAGGTTTATAAATGAACTTTGAACAGCTATGCAATGGAAAAACTACACATATTTGAAAAAATATTTATTTTTACAAGTATACAATGTAAAACAATAGTATACAAAGTAAATATATTCACAAATGCTTTTGTTTTAAAAGTCCCTCTCTGAAAGGCACATTTTAGATGTCTTGTGATCAGTGGAGCTGTACATCCCTAGAAAAGAAGAGCTGCATTTGATACATCACTAAAAAAAGGGGCAGCACAGAGGTACGGAAGAAAGTCCAGAAAATGAAAGGTACAGTTCTGGTAGAAGTCAACCTAAACAAGACAGAGACAAAATCCTGATCTTCATTTTTGCTTCAGAGTTCATCCAATCACCAGATCGCTGGTTGGTCACTTTCCACAGATTATTCCATCTTCCAGTCAACTTCCCCACCCCAGCCATCCATCTGATTTTATATTAACTTTTTAATTTGTCATTGAAGTTACAAACAAAATTTTAAGCACAGCATACAGTGTTATCAAATTTCAGTAGTTCCTGTGTTTGGCCAAGTTACTGCAGTACATAAAATCATTCAAGTCAAGAGTCCTTGGGCCTCTGCAAACTGCACCAGTTGTACCACCAAGCAGCGAGGATAAAACCCCAGCTGCTGGTATTAAAAAACTACCTGGAGGCACACTGGAGTGTGTGTACCTGTGTGTGTTGCTGGTCTTGTGCGTGTACATTTTTACCTGTTCTTGGTTACACTGAGCCTCTGGAAAACATAAATACTGAAAGGTAAATGTTTCTGTCAGCTGATTGTTTTAGCAGTCACATAATCCTTCCTTTGATGTCTTGGGTCAATGAAATCCTAGTACCACCGGGGTTTAGGAGGAGATATATTAAAAGAATTTCTCTGTGATCTTTCCTGCAACGGAAACAGCAGCAAAAGTTATTACTCTGTCACAATAAAGGGTTATCTGTGCATTCTTGATTGGCCCAGTCTTTCATATGAAGGTTTGTGTTGTGTTTTTTAAGCTTACTAGTAGAGCATAACCGTGGTTACAAAGTTAACAAAGCTAAATTTATAACTGTATTTTTAAAAACACTGTTTCCCCTTATATTTTCTGAGATAAGAAGCCTCGGTACCCAGAAGGGGGACCTCCTTAGAGCTACCACAACAAGGTTTGGAGAAGACATGAAAGAGCCAAAGGACAAGCACCTCCCCCGGTTATTAGCAGGTTACTCTGAGCACAATGCTGGAGGTCAGTCACTGGAGCAACGCTGTGTGATGTTACACATATCCACATACCTTCTCGTCTTAAGCCAACAGTTCTCTAAACAGTACTGAGGTAGCTTGTCCACCTTAAGCGCATGGTGTTTAACGTCAGGACAGCGCAATGTATACTGATTTGGTTTTAGAGAGAAGACAGTAACAACATTTCTCAAAGGCTCCTAGAAAGGTACTTTATTTTATTTATTTATTTATTTATTTATTTTTGCTCTAGGGCTCGACTCCTGTTCCTGCTGAACTGAGCCAGTGTGTAAAATCAGAACTGATATCAGCTCAGTAGGCACCGGAGGACGGGTCCATCAACGCCTGGAACAACAGCAGCAGCCGTAAGTGGCAGCTCCAGTCGGAAACAACCACCTTCCTGCGAATGGTACACAACGCTAAGCTACAACTGCGGAGAAGTCACGAGAGCATCCGTTAAAGAAGAGCCTACAAAACAAAGCTTTATAGACAATTCCAGTTTAGCATCGCAAACATTTATTTCCTATGACCTTTAGAAAAGCTCAGCAACCAGGTTACTCTTGGGCAATACCCTCCTTTTGTAGTCAGGCTGAGAAATTTAGGAGCGATGTTTATTTTCAACTACAAAACAAGTCTATGGTCCTTCCTAAGCCCCTTTTGCTCGTTAGCCTCCACGTCCTGTATCTGCGCACAAGCACTTATTGTAACACTGCCCGCCAAGCAGCAATGTATCTCAGGCATCAAGTGCTCCCTGCCCCACGCAGGCTGACACTTAAGCGTCCTCATCTCACCTTCTCTTCAGGTGCAGAACTTAGCCACTGTGAACAAAGAGGAAAACAATCACTGTTCACCAATCAGCTAAGCTCTGCACCTCGCCAGAGAGGTCTCCGTCTGAGTACAACTATTTTTCAGATGAGGTTCTTCCGTGACGCGTCTGCTCCTTTCCTCTTTGGACTTTATTTTTTTTGCTTAACGGATGGAGAGGATGCCACAGGGTACACGTATCAGATAGTTACGGAGATTTTCAGAGTAGCAGCTGCGGTCATGGCTATGTGGTAATCCCTGGCAATGTGATTTTAATCTTAACTCACAAATCATCATGCCAGGAACCCAAACAGCCACAACACTACAAGAAAGCTGTGCAGTCACACAGTCACACTCCTAATGGCATCTTTAGATTTATTTTTTGTAGTTTGCCATACATTTCTAGTCTAAAAGGTCAAACAGGCAATTCTACACTACTGCACATACATACTACATAATATTCCTGTGCTAGGTAGATACTTACCACCAGAAGTTGCAGAAATTTTTATTTTATTATTTAAGGATTATACGAAGACAGTTCCAAGCACGGAAGTATCAGAATGAACTGCATCTCCATCTTTCTTGTATCTACCAGATTGTAAAATATTGAACGTAACTCAAGTTTTCTGTGGGTTCCTGACAACTGGCAGCATGTAAGCAAATCTCTTAGCCCTACCCGTTTTAGAAGACAACCCTCCTTTCCCAAGACTGCTATCCTGGCATTCGTAAGTCTCACCCATATTTCCCGTAAAGTTTCCCTGGCAGACACAGTGCTTGTCAATACAGAACAACCTTGATTTCATGGTATCTGCTATGTTTCATATAAATGAGGTAAATGCCATGAATTCAATTTGAACTTACTACCAAGTACAGGCTTGAATGGGAGAAAGTCAAGATTCCTGCTAGATACCAATTAGAAAATTATGATTTTGCTCGATTAGATGCCTTAATTTTGATACCACAAATCAATTGTAGAGTTAGGTGAACAGCCAAGGCAATCATCACTCTGTCAGATGAGTTAATTTACGAAGCAAAAATCTGAAGAATGCTGTACTGAAAGAGACGTTCATACCAATCCTAATTGGCTATGTGTTAAACATGCATGTACAAACACTGTGAGGTTACCTCAGGCTATTCAAAGAGACTGAGAAATTGAGAATATCTTTGCAAGTGACCCATTTATAGCCTGCAGCAATCTTTATTTTGTGAACATTTCCTTCAATTTTGCTTTTTCTGTTGATTCCTCCCCGTTAATTTCAGAAACGAGCTAGATTATGTATGACATTAACCAGTTTCTTTATGTTAAGGCTGTTCTTACTTTATAACCATTCTTCAAAGACCTGACTACGCTTAATCTGCTTGAATTAACAAATTGTTCTCACATGATTCAGACTTGGTTGCAAGTGTACAACTTCACAATTCTGTTGTGGGATAAAATTCTTTTCAAAGTTTGTGCTACCTATCAAGTCAGCACACAGCTTTGTTAAGCAGCAATGCTTCTCACACAGTTGTGATTTTGTGTATGCTGTAGACAGAATTAAGAATACAGGACGGAAAACAACTGCAGGTGCAGCCTGGCCTTCCCTGGCCATTCTGACTTACAGTTGCCTCTTGTACAATCCATTACAAAGTTTACAACAACGCCCCTCCGTGCTCTCCAGCCAGTGCCTATGCATATCTAACTCACTGCTCCAGCAGCTGGGCTTAAAAACAAACAAACAAAAAAACAGAAAAACCAAGATAGTTCAAAAATTAACTCTTGTTTAAATAAGCTGCCACAAGCTCTGTGGTATGCCAAAGTTTACAGTGTTTAGTGAGTTTCTTTATAAGGCAAAATCAGGGTATTTAATTAAAAAAGGAAAATCACCTCTTCAGAACAACATCTCTGCCACCACTTTGGCGGAGGACACGTCCATTTGTTCTCGTGCTGCAGCAAAGCATTTGTATGCAAGTTCCTGTTGTTTGGCATCTTCATTCACCATTAATTCACCATAGAGATACACACCCATTGCCTGAAAGAGGAACACAACACACAGTCATCCTGTCACCAGTTATGACTAGTTGAACAGTTTTCGTGTTGTTGACCTCCAAGTACCCACTTAATTCAAAAAAAAGAATGGAAAAAGCCTTATACTCAACAGCATACCTTTCCCCCCCAAAAAATGTAGTTTTCTTTGGCTCTCTGTAGCCTAAGATTGGCTATATGTTGTATTGAGTGTGTAAAAAAAGAACATTACTATAAGAAATGTACGTTGTGTTGTGACAAGCAAATGCTTTCTCACTCCATTTTTCTTGCCACTTTTGAAGTTGAAATCTGTTTTCTTTTATCCACTACCTGAAGTACTTCCAAATGCCCCTTAAGAAAACAGCTTGTCCTTCCTTCAACAGGATACACATTTTCTTTCCAGTTGGGATGTTTCCACATGCACTAATAAAGAGCAGAACAGCTGAAACACCCCACTCTGAAATCCCCGTCTGGCAATGCTGTATCTGGAAATCAATCACCTGTGGCCAGGTCTGTGTTTCAGAGCCTTTTCTTTAAGTCCAAGATGCAGCTTAACCTTTCTGTAAGAAGGCAGACCGTCCCTTAGTGCTCATACTGGATAACTGAGTACCTGGGGGTAAGATCTGAGCCCCTTTGATGGCAGGTAGCGAAGCACTAGCTAACTTCATGGGAAACATATTGGGGATTGCCTTTTTTTTTTCTGAAGATACAAGCTTTGCATCTTGTTATAGGAGTTCCATAAGTGTTAAGCTGCACTTATCAAAACACTGTATGTATGTTATTATTATATATATGCCATACATAATATGTATATATTATGTATGCAATATATGCCACATATATGAAATATTATTTATATACATAAGACGTGTGATATTATATATATATATATATGACGTAATTATTGTATTTGGCATATATTATATATATGCCACTTATGTATAATTATTAAACGTGGCATATGTTATATGTTATATATAATCGTTATATGTAGCATACATTATACATATAATGACAAAACTTAGCAGCTTAGCAGATTAACTTGTACAGCTGCAAACTTAATGCTTGGACAGTTGCAGAAGAGGAAGAATATGGACAGCATTGAAAAAAAACAATTCGTAATATAATTCCTCACAATTTCTAGTGTTGGCTGATAAGGTTAAAAATTAAGCTTCAACAAGAGGGGAAATTTATAGTTTAACAGTGATTGAAATTAAAGAAAAAGGTCCCAAACAGACAGAAATCTGACAGACACTGTGACAGTGCCCTAACCATGGGCATTTCTTCTGCATTCACAGACCTCAGGTTTCCAGGATCTGCAGCTGCAGATCGCACCAGGAACGTTGCCTTGGAGCTGGGCTCCAGTTGCTTTCATAAAGAATTTCAAAATGTTGGAATTTTGTTCCAAATAGGAATTATCTTCTCTACCCACTATTAATAATTTTCCCCCAAACCTAAACATTAAAATGCAGTAAAAACACTGGGTTTTTGTAATCCTGGAAAGGATTAAATAATCACATTTACATTTTTCCCAGACTTTAAAGAAAAAAAAAGTCTTTCATGATCAGTAACGACATGCAACTACTCTGATTTGAGTTGTAATGATTCCAGAACCTGGTTGCGTTATAAACTGTTTCCACCACTGGAGTAAATGAAATGAAAGATATTGAGGATTACATGAAAAAAAAAAAAAAAATTGCAGAAATTCTTTCCCTGCACTGCAGAAAACATTTGTTTTTGTTTGGCATTGTATCTGTTCTAAACGTAACGTAATTCAATATGTTTGTATGAATGTCAGGATTTTTGTTTTGCCTTTCTGCTGGTAGACACCTGCATCATTCCATATGACAAAAATATGCACAATATATATAAATTCCTTGTTGTCATAAATGCTGTTGTTACATGCTACTTTTTTTTTATTTTTTTTATTCAAACAAAGAGCTTGCCAGGAAGTCTTGAGACTGTTTATTGGTTGAGATATAAATAGGAGGTATACTCCAGAGCTGGAAGAAAGAGCCTAAGAGACTGCAGTAACTTTATTATGCTGTTGTGACAAAATGTATTTATTTGTCTGAAAGCAAAAAAAGCTCACAGGCTGTAAATGGCTTTGTTCACTGTCAACACGAAAGGAAAAGGCATGAATATCTCTCTCACTGATTTTCATATACCTTGCAATGTTTTCTTTCTTTTTTTTTCCTCCCTATATTTTAAATATAGCTGTGATCCTAGGCAGTGAAGGTTGAATAAAAACAAATGGGAAGTGAAATCAAAAGAACAAGGCAGAGGTACAATTACAACTGCGATTTCATAATAGCTTAGCCATAGTAAAGACACTTTATACAGCTGGCATTTTAAGACCTTCAAAATTGTCTCAAATCATTTTTTTAACAGTGCAGATGCATCCTTGGATGAATATCCTTGCGCTATGCTTCTCCTGTAAGACGATCTGTACATCGTCTTGAAAATTTCAGTCGCTGTTTTGCACCAAACTCATATCTATGTGGGTTAATATTCACAGATAGACTTGCCTTTGTCACCCTGCAAACTGAGGAAAATGTGTCTTAGCATTGGCAAGGATCATTGCTACATATGATCAGCCTAGAAGAGAGGGATCTGGGGGTCGTGGTAGACAGCAAGTTGAATATGAGCCGGCAGTGTGCCCTGGCAGCCAGGAGGGCCAACCGTGTCCTGGGGTGCATCAAGCACGGCATCGCTAGTAGGTCGAGGGAGGTGATTGTCCCGCTCTACTCTGCGCTGGTGCGGCCTCACCTCGAGTACTGTGTGCAGTTCTGGGCACCACAGTATAAAAAGGACATGAAACTGTTGGAGAGTGTCCAGAGGAGGGCTACGAAGATGGTGAAAGGCCTGGAGGGGAAGACGTACGAGGAACGGCTGAGGGCACTGGGCCTGTTCAGCCTGGAGAAGAGGAGGCTGAGGGGAGACCTCATCGCAGTCTACAACTTCCTCGTAAGGGGGTATCAAGAGGCAGGAGACCTTTTCTCCATTAACACCAGCGACAGGACCCGCGGGAACGGGGTTAAGCTGAGGCAGGGGAAATTTAGGCTTGACATCAGGAGGGGGTTCTTCACAGAGAGAGTGGTTGCACACTGGAACAGGCTCCCCAGGGAAGTGGTCACTGCACCAAGCCTGACTGAATTTAAGAAGAGATTGGACTGTGCACTTAGTCACATGGTCTGAACTTTTGGGTAGACCTGTGCGGTGTCAAGAGTTGGACTTGATGATCCTTAAGGGTCCCTTCCAACTCAGGATATTCTATGATTCTGTGATTCTATATGACTTGTATAAAATGGAAGCAGAAGAGAATATATCCTATTTTACTTTACAGGTGATTAGCATACTTAGGTGGGGCTGAGTATACCTAGGCAGATTCCTTAAATTGCACTATTCAAGGAAAGGGCATAAACTGAATACACATTCCACTTTTTAGCTGTCTCCAGCAAGAAAATATATTAATTTTCAGTTTCACATTAGGGTCTCAAAAAAATTTAAAACGTGATTATTTTGAAAATGCTAATAACATGTAACTGACCTGATCTTCTCTGAGAAATTTCTCAACATCTCCATATGCAGGCACGTATTTGTGTTTAACAACAAGTTCACACCACCGATGACGAACCTTCGGGAAGAGGAAAAAAAAAGAAATAAATGAAATTGTATGTGTGTCTTTCTGGGCTTCAGAACCCCACAAGACCTGAAAACAAACCTCTCATTCTAGAATAGTAAATTAATCCATATCCTGACACCAGTTTGCAGCATCTTTAGACTTAAGTTTGTCTGAATGTTATTATCCTTCCTTTATGTTTGCCTAAACATTACTTATTTTATAATGTTAGAAGTAGGGAATAGGGGCAGGAGACGCAGATGATAGCTAGAAATGCCCAGAAGAGCCACAAGACAGAATTAATTATCTCTTCTATGCAAGTGTACAATCCAAGTAATAAAAAAGCTTAAATATAATACTGTACCAAGATCAAATTCATGTTAAAAGCATGTTATATAAAAAACCATGCAGCAAGGTTCAGTTAAGTGGAACATAGTTTTGCCACCATCATTTTCCAGGACTACATTTTAAACACCTTTCAAAGAGTTTAAAATCTGTCTACACTCAAAAATCTAGGCTGTTCTACCAAATGCACATAGACGGAAACAGTTATTAACATAATGTAATGAAAAATAGAGTTTTTAAAAACAATCACAGTCGAAAAATTTTTATCTTTAAGTAGTGTGAATAACATGACTTTGAAATGACTTTAAATTTCTGACTTTGTTCTTCAACACTCCTGTGGATTATAAGTCATCTTACACTCCAGCAAGGCTTCCGCAAGTTGTAGGCAGTGACCAGGCTGATGTTTTTTACTCTATTACTGGAACAGCACTGATCTAAAGGAAAACAATTACGTTCAATAAAGCCCTCCCACCCTCCTGCTCTTTCTGTTTTACCCTGTGGTCTTACTATCTTTTGTAAGATGGGGCACATAACAACAATCACTTTGTATAAAATAAAATGTCAGCAGTTTTAATAGTTTTAAAAACCAAGTCAAAATTGTGTTCATATCAAGTCACCGTGAGCAAGCCTTTTTCTGAATGACAGATTTACCAAGAACACTGAGAGTGGAAGCCAGGAATGAAAAAAAAGAACTGAACTTAAATATCTTATTGCTTTGTTAAATAAGGTATTTGGACATACTTTCCCTGTCATCCTAATCCTTGCTAACTTTATGTCTCAAGAAAGTTTTACAGTCGTATGTGATTAGAGAATAACCCCATTAACATGATTAACAAGTAATAAAATGCTCAGCGGTCCTGGAAGAGTCCTTTTGGGTAGCTGGAATCTCCTCCCAGCTTACCTGTTACATGACACAGTTTGAACACAGCTTCTGAATTAAACAAAATGCTGCGTGAAGTTGTGGCTGAAGGGAATTTGCACTCACAGCTTCTAAGACACTGCAGAATTAAAGTGCAACACGTGGTGGGGGATAAAAGCTGTCTCTGAAAGGTTTTTGCTGACTAAATAACAGCTGTTAAGACTCCTGCATGGGGAACCAGCGCTAAATCCACAAAAGCAAATGGTGTTCCAAGCTTCAACTTGTTTTGTCATAGATGCCCACGCATCTATAATATGGGCCTTTAAAACCCTACCCAGCTGCTGCTTTTCCCTGGAGACACTGAACGCATCACCAGTAAATCTTCCCAGGCAAGCCAGCTCCCTTACAGGACATTTTTCATAGCACCAAACAGCTCCCTGCCTGGAACAAACCTTAGAAATTTAGTCTCAAAAATTAAGCATATCCCTCTCTCATCTGCAGCTTGAGTTAGCCAAGCAGAACAGGAAACATTGAAAAGGTTGTCTATCTTCATTGGAACCACTTTATCCTACCTACGCAGCACCTGATGTCAACTATTTAAGAAGAAATAAAATTTTCTGTATGTATTCTTGGCACATATAGAATAGGCAAGGAGGAGAGAAAGGGACTGCGGTGTTCTGCTGTGATCATTGCGCTTCTACGCCTTGTGGCCCAGCACGTGAGAACGTCCAACAAACAAATTACGAAGTCTTCCGAGATAGGGCTCTCTTCATACCTCCTGGTGAAGCTGTTTTTTCCCCACATGTAATTATTAAAGCATTAATAATTACAGGATCCTACAGGAGATAATCAGAGGCCCTTGGGTGCCGAAATTTCTAAGTACTTTCAATAACAACCCCGTCACCTGGCTTGCAGAGTGCAAACACTCCCTTTTGTGATTGTTACCATAACACCTGCACGGAGAACAGAGCAGGAGTTATCGGTGTGGATGTACTCACATGCTTTTGCTCACTCACATACTAACATAGTGCACGTCTGCCTTACATTTTTGTCATTGCCTGATTATCTGAATTCCCACTGTTTTGCAAAACAAAGAACAATTAAGCTGTATCCTTTCCTTAATCACCCCTTCCTCCACAGGGTTCCCACTCCTGGCAGTACACCTCCTCTCAAAGAGTTTGAAAGAGAAGCATTGATTTGTTGAGTGAGGTTTAGTACAGCGCACACTTTTCTTTCTCTCTCTTTTCTCTTTCTTTCTTTCTCAGGGTCATTACAAACCCTGGCACAGTCCCAGACCTGAAGTGCTGGAGGCCCTCCAGCTGGGGCAGGAGCAGCGTGTCTGTTATCCTCAGATTACACGTTTGCCTCCTGCTTCCCAAAAAGCCCCGAATGCCGTCACGGCGCGGCGAGCTGCAGGAGAACCAGCCGCTGCCGAGGCACCCATAAAAACCAGCTGTGGGGGCAGCCAGACCCCAGCTTCCCGGCAACCTGCAGGGCAGCTGTGGGCACCGAGACTGTCCCAGCATGTGGCAGGGGCTCGGTGTGACCTGCTTGGCCCTGCCACCGGAGCCTCAAGGGTGGCCTGAGCGGGCACGGCCTGGCTGATGTCTTGCGGGGCCTGTATGGTGCGCGGGCCGCCACGTATTTTTTATTTTTTCTGGTACAATCCAAGCCCTAGGCTCATACCGCACAGCTGAGAACTTTATTCATATAAGAGGAAGACATAAAAAAAAATAAATTTGGTTCCCAGTGTCTCTTCCAGCGCTCGGAGCATGAGACACCCCACAGCTCTGCAGCGTAATGCATGTGTCATGCAACCAGGCCCTCTAACAAACCCCTATCAAAAGGCAATGTTGAAAGCTAAGTAGCTTGTGGTAGGACCAAGCTAACCGTACCGCATCCTGTATACGCTCTTCTTGGCTTTTCCTTTCCTCCCAGGAGCAAAAACTCAGTGGTGAAAATAAGAATTCATTCATCTCCTCCAAGTCCCCCCTCTGCACACTTCCCAGTGCTCTCCCACACAGTGCAGAGATGCATGCCGTATGTCCCTTTGGCTGGCTCCTTGGCACCAGACGGACCCAAAAAGCAATTCGCAGCCATCCTTCCCCCTGCTGCTGGCAGAAAGCACACACCTGCAGCCGCCTGCCCATCCTCTTGCAGGTCCAGCAGCTGCAGGACATACGTGCCAATGCTGGAAATGCCGCTGGTTTTCCCAGCCTCAGACTGATGAGCCCGCCCAGGCAAGAGTAGAGGTGGCAGGGGCCTTTTGTGGCACCTCCAGTCCCTGACCCACTCCTCGTCTCTTTCCTCCCATCCAGCTTTCACCACTGATGCTGATATTTGAGCAACCACCTTCTCGAGTTAAACGGGGATCGCTTTTCTTTGAGGTTTGCGAGACACCACACATCTGAGCAGTGCATTTCTGAGCCACGCCTCAGCGGCAGGAGGACACCCAGACAGCCACTTGCGCAGGTGTGATGATTGAAAACCACTGATAGGTTTCCACAAATACCAGCCGCATCAAGATCTATGTGTTGGCTAACATCTAGGTGAAGTATCTTGAAGGGCTGCTACTGTTATAACATACACAATCTCCAGTTTAGAAGCTTATACAAAGAACTTAAGTGTTCTCACTTTATCTTTTAATTTGACTTCTGGAAGAATACACATCAGTGCACAACATTATGAAGAACTCAAACATCACCTGCATTTTGACAGTGAAATGGGAAATGTTTAGAAAACAAAGTGACACCACCCTGGTCTATTTTCAGAGAGTAAATTGCTACATGAGAAGACTTCAACTGAACTAAGTACTTACATAAATTACATAATAAATTATATTAATATATATTAATATCCAGCTCTAAGACAGTCCTTTCATTTTAACAATCTGGGCCATGATCTTTTGGTAAATGCTGCTTGAGTATATCATATCAGGCATCAAACACATGCCTCGACTTGCAAAAGAAAAGCTACTAATAACCAAATCTGAGAAACTGTAATTTTAAACTATTTTAAACAGGTCTTAAATTATATATTTTTTTCTTTTCTGACCCAGGTGATTAATTACATTGCCTAATCTGTTTTATTCTCCTGTGCCTCATACAAACAATCAAGGAAGCCTAAAACAAACACCCTCACAGAAAGCTCCGTATGTTCTATTGTAGTAATCTAGATTGTTAAAGTTCTCAATAATATGTATGCAAGCAAAATAAATATTTTACGGAGAAGATGAGAGGAGGAGAGGAGGGTTTTATATTAAGCTTTTGGTCTGCAGAATGAGAGACTAGCTTCAGGGAAAATGAGTACATTTTGCTAATAGCTGGATCCAATTTAACAGGCGCCATGAGACAACAAATCTAAATCACAGAACAAAAGCAACTTACTTAGAGATCCTAGTAAACAGGCTAATGTGAAATACATTAAGAGCTATTGAACACCAAAACGGAATCTTTATTAAAGGTAGGAGGCATTTGTGATCTTTATAAAGCGTGACTTCAGACTTGATTGGAAAAAAAAAATGTATTTGAACAACCAGAATCACAAACGTTAAACAGATCTCAGTTGCCAGACTCCAGGCTAATATGGAGAAGAAAAAGACAATGAAACTTTTTCAAATAATGATGCCTTCCTACTATAGATTAGTTTTAATTAACAAAAAGGAAGCTGGTATCTCCAGAGCACCAGAAAACTGTTCTGTTCTATCTGAAAGTATTTATCTCCAGTCTCTTTCTATACACACACAAATTGGATTTAAATATTAGATCATTTTCAGACAATTAAGGAACAATGCCACATGTTACTGGGCAAT